CCTTAAAACGAATTTTGTATTACTTTTATTTTCCTAAAAAAAATTCCCAAAGTTACCTATGATTTTTAGGCGCTCAAGGTGGTGTAACCCCTTAAGGGTGGTTTTATCGCTCAACGCCAACTCGATAGTGTGACGTCATATAATCGCGTACTCTCTAAATTTTCTGGAGTGAATCTCGCTCCAAAATATTGAAAATACTGCCACTCGGTGGCAGTATTTTCATTCTTTTGGAGTGAGATTTACTCCAAAAGAGTGAAAAGGCGCTCCAGAAAATTTAGATATGTACAGTTTATGCAAAATGTTTTTATTGAATTTTTATATTAGTTTTATGAAGTGGCTAACTTTTGACTGGGACTTGCGCGATAAAACCACCTTAATATTGCGTGATATTGTATCTACATCTTGCAGTGTCTCTTTAACAAAACTGAATGAGTCTTGTTTATTTAAAGATAAGAAAGTCAGTAGAACGTATACATTCGCGCGCCACATTTATTCGTTGCATTTCCTCACATTGTATATCGATTATTTATACAAATAAATTTGTAGGTTGTTTCTAACTGTTCTCTTCTTTCAGCTTCCATTAAAAATGAACAACTTTTTTTTCGACTTTTGATAAAATAAAGCGGAACGATAAATTACGTTGACGATTCGAATTATATAAATAAGCTTGTTCGCTTCAATTTTTGTACGATAAAAGTCTTGAAAAATCTTGTGATCAACGTATGGAGTAACTTTGAGCAATGATCGCCCTGCACACATATTGTTGCAATCGTCGACGTGGGAAAACGCGTCTCGAAGCAAGAAAACGACAAAATGGGAACCTCTTACGAGTTATAATGACGGGAGATCGTGGATCTCGGCTCCCACGCGTACGGGGTGTACAAATAGTTTTTACGGCGGATCGTCTCCTATTCCGAACTTCCAGATGCTCCGGCGTGACTTTTTGTCGCAGGATACACAAGTGTGCTCCATCGCCTGCGCGTTCGCGGCTGTTCCTTGCGTTTATATGATCTTGCTCGGCCTCGTCTTTCCGACCGACCACTCGCAAACGGTCATCCATGGTATTTTGACGACGAAACTGGAGACCACCATCAGGGTGACTAGCATGCAAATGATTTTTTGAAGACAAGGATATTTTTAAGAATCGGATTTCGTAATGAAAAATCTCATATCTCCTTCGTTTCTCATTTGTTATTATTAATTCCTCCTTATTATTAGTTTCTCTATGTATATTATTCGTTACTTTATAAAATTGATTTATGGAAAGACGAATAATTTTTTTACCTATTTAATAAAATAAAATGGAGAAAGCGAGAGAAAAAGAGGGGAAAGAAAAATTCGCGATAATTACATAAATAAAGAAGTTTTCAAAAATCTTTTAAATTTATATATTCATTTGAATTTCTTGGAAATTGAAAAATGGAAGAGAAATAAATAAGACAAAATTTTGTCGATTTTATGTTAGAAAACTTTAGAAGACGATCGGAAAGGTAAATTGATTTATAAAAAGATAAGTAATTTTTTTACCCATTTAATAAAATAAAATGGAGAAAACGAAAGAAAAAGAGGAAAAAGAAAAATTCGCGATAATTACATAAGTAAAGAAGTTTTCAATGATCTTTTAAATTTATATATTCATTTAAATTTCTTGGAAATTGAAAAATGAAAGAGAAATAAATAAGACAAAATTTTGTCGATTTTATGTTAGAAGACTTTAGAAGACGATTGGAAAGATAAATTGATTTATAAAAAGATAAGTAATTTTTTTACCCATTTAATAAAATAAAATGGAGAAAGCGAGAGAAAGAGGGAAAAGAAAAATTCGCGACAATTACATAATTTTGTCGATTTTACGTAGAAAACTTTAGGAGATGATCGTAAATGTAAATGCGTTACTATACGTTGTAATATGCAGCTCCCAAAGATTAGCAATGGGCCCGCTGCCTCGGCTTTGTGTGTGAACGCACATTGTGCCGCGTATGAGTCATCGAGGGACGGTTCGAGAGCGGGTGCAACGCGGGCGCGACACGTGTTGCATATACCTGAGAGAAGCCTGTGAAAGGGCCTGCTGTGAATATTTTCCCTGTGTAGGTGCGTGTACGGTCAACAACCCAAGTTGAACAGCTGTTCCCATAAGTGTATTCCTGCACCCCTCCTTTTCTCTCCGGCCATTATTTCTTACATCTTTACCCCAAAGATTCGTGCCACCCTTCGGGTGTCGGTCGGGCCCTCCGTCTGGCAAGCGAAGGCTCTCTTCGTAGGGTTCACGTCGTTGCAGTTTTTAGTTTGTGGAAACAACGTTCTCTCGAGTTTTCTTTTTGAGATTCTCCAAACGTGCAGCGAATATATGTACAATACGTGTTAATTTCTGTCGACTCTAATTAATGAAAAAAAAGGAGGATTATAGATTTCAATCTCTCTTATAACTTTGGAGTATAATAAATATTTTGCTCTGCAGTTTTAAATTTCGATAAATAAAATTGAAATAATATTTTGTTTTGAAAAGAAAGATACACACATTATTATTGACGGAATTAATTATCCATTATGGAAACAACGTTCTCGAGTTTTCTTGTTGAGATTCCCCGAACATGCGAATATATAAGTGTTAATTTTATCGATTCTAGTCGACGAAAAAAAAGAGAGATTATAGTTTTTCAATCTTTTAACTTTGGAGTATAATATATGTTTTGCTCTGCAGTTTTAAATTTCGATAAATAAAATTGAAATAATATTTTGTTTTGAAAAGAAAGATACACACATTATTATTGACGGACTTAATTATCCGTTGTGGAAACAACGTTCTCGAGTTTTTTTTTAAGATTCCCCGAACATGCGAATATATAAATGTTAATTTTATCGACTCTAGTCGATGAAAAAAAAGAGAGATTATAGCTTTTCAAATCTCTTTTAACTTTGGAGTATAATATATGTTTTGCTCTGCAGTTTTAAATTTCGATAAATAAAATTGAAATAATATTTTGTTTTGAAAAGAAAGCTACACACATTATTATTGACGGACTTAATTATCCGTTGTGGAAACAACGTTCTCGAGTTTTTTTTTTAGATTCCCCGAACATGCGAATATATAAATGTTAATTTTATCGACTCTAGTCGATGAAAAAAAAGAGAGATTATAGCTTTTCAATTTCTCTTTTAACTTTGGAGTATAATACATGTTTTGCTCAGTTTTAAATTTCAATAAATAAAATTGAAATAATTTTCTGTTTTGAAAAGAAAGATACACACGTATTATTGACGGAATTAATTGTCCATTATGGAAACAACGTTCTCGAGTTTTCTTTTTGAGATTCCCCGAACATGCGAATATATAAGTATTAATTTTATCGATTCTAGTCGACGAAAAAAAAGAGAGATTATAGTTTTTCAATCTCTCTTTTAACTTTGGAGTATAATAAATGTTTTGCCCAGTTTTAAATTTCGATAAATAAAATTGAAATAATATTCTGTTTTGAAAAGAAAGATACACACAATATTATTGACGGAATTAATTGTCCCTGACATTATAAGGAATCGGACTCTTTTCGAATTAAATGTCACTTTTAAGTTTCTTCATCGCGCGTATGAAATGTAAATCTTATTAGACGGGCACAATCGAGGAAAGGGGTTTCGGAGCGACGTGACGGGCTCGATAACCTCGGGGACCCAATTTCGGGTATGCGCGGGGGGGCCTAATTCGAAAGCGTGCGCGACCGGCACGGCCGTCGGTCTGGCCCCGGAATTATTCATCGTATAGACAGGAAATGCAAATTCCATCGTGTCCCCTCGTGTGCCGTATAGGACAGTGCTCTTTGACCTTACCTCGATTCCCTCCGTGAGCGAGAATTCTCGCCTTTATACGAAATTGTCTTGTCTTCGGAAGAAGCAAATTTCTATTTGAGCTGCCTTCTGCACGTAATATAGGAAACGTTACTTCAAAAATTACT